GATGGCTGTCTTAGTCATGGTTTCTATGAGGTAGATGGCTGTCTTAGCCATGGTTTCTATGAGGTAGATGACTGTCTTAGTCATGGTTTCTGTGAGGTAGATGGCTGTCTTAGCCATGGTTTCTATGAGGTAGATGGCTGTCTTAGGGTTTCTATGAGGTAGATGGCTGTCTTAGGGTTTCTATGAGGTAGATAGCTGTCTTAAGGTTTCTATGAGGTAGATAACTGTCTTAGGGTTTCTATGAGGTAGATAGCTGTCTTAGTCATGGTTTGTATGACTATGAGGAAATACCATGAGCTCAGCAACCCCTATATAGAAAGCATTTAATTGGCTCCATATTTACTATGACAGGGAACTTATTGGGGTGCATGCCGACATGGTGCTGGAGAGGTAGGGGAGAGGTTTATCTCTGGTCTGCAGATAGCAGGAAAAGAGCGCCACAGTGGGCCTGGCTGGAGCATCTGAGATCTCAAAGCCTGCCCCCAGTGACTCACTTCATCCGACAGAGGTCACACCTCATGATAGTGCCACTGCCTATTAGTTTATGGGGCCATTTTCTTCAAACCACCAAATGACAGTTTAAGAAAGAAATGGAAATCAGGATGTGGTTCATCCTGAAAAGTTGAGAAACCTGCCCACATCTTAAATAATTTCCCATGAAATTAGAGCCATAAATATATTTATTTATTAAAAGAACTTTTAAAATGTATAATTCATTTGGTTTCATTGGTTGGTTTTTCGTGGTTATCGTTGTTTGAGACATGGCCTGCCTCTGCCTCTTGAGTGGTGGGATTAAAGGTGCGCACCACCACACTAGTATGTGCTTTTTGTTATTGTTTGTGTTTTATTCCATTTTGTTGAGATAAAGTTTGGGTTGGAATTGAATGCACTATGTAGCAGAGGCTGGTTTTGAACTCCTGATCTTCCTTCCTTCATCCTCCAAGGCTAAGATTCAGATGTACAGTGCCACCGCCAGAAACGTATATAGGTTTAGAGTTTGGTGTCACAGGTTTTGATGGTATCAGTGGTTTGAAGAAATCTCTTTACTATGAGCACGTTTAGGGGTGACCTGCAGAGGATGCTGATTGCACTTAAGGAAAGGCCTTCCTGTTATTTTTGGACATTAAAGTCACATGAGCAGGGCTCAGTGCTGCTTCAGCTCCTCTCCCATGTGTTCCCAGAAGGTGTAGCTCTAGCCCGGAAGTGTTTAGCTCATTAAATTTGATTCAAGCCATTTTAGTGAAGATGCAGAGCTACGGATGTGAAAGCAATGGCGATGTCGTCCTATCTGCCAGTAACTCTTTCTTAGTGATTCATTAGCACGCATTTTCCACCTAGTGAGCCAGTAATGTTGGAAATGGAGCCTGGCACGGTGGCTTAGCAGTTAACAGCACTGACTGCTTTTCCAGAGGACCCGGGTTCAATTCCCAGCACCCACATGGTGGCTCACAACTGTTTGTACTCCAGTTTGAGGGGATCTGATGCCCTCTTCTGGGTACCTTCACTCATGTGTGTGTGTGTGCGCACACACACACACACACACACACACACTGGTGGTTTGAAAGAAAATGGCTCCCAAAAGGAGTGGTACTATTAGGAGGTGTGGCCTTGTTTGAGGAAGCATGTCCTGTGGAGGAGGCACCTTTGAGGTCTCCTATATGCCCAAGATCCTGCCCAGTGTCATGGACCACTTCCTGTTACCTGTGAGTCAAGATGTAAGGACTCTTAGCACCTGCTCCAGCACCATGTCTGCCTGCACGCCACCATGCTGCACCATGCTGATAATGGACTGACCCTCTGAAAGTGTAAGCCAGCCCAGTTAAATGTTTTTCTTTATAAGATAAGAATTGCTGTGGTCATGGTGTCTCTTTATGGCAATAGAAACCTTGACTAACACACACACACACACACGCATACACTAAAATAAAAATAAAATTAAAAGTTTTGGACATTGACCTCTTTTCCCCATCCTTGGCAGTGGTGGTGCATGCCCTTAACCCCAGCACTTTGAAGTCAGGGGCAGGCAGATTTCTGTGAGTTCAAGGCCAACCTTGTCTACAGAGAAAATTCCAGGACAGCTAAGGCTACTGAGAAACCTGGTCTTGAAAAAAAAATACTGCTTCCTCTTTTCCCATTCTATTTGTTTTTTCTTTCTGCTTTCTTTTTCTTTTCTTTTTTAAAAATATTTATTTATTTGCTTATTATGTATACAGTATTCTTTCTTCAGTCCAGAAGAGGTCACCAGTTCTCATTACAGATGACTGTGAGCCACCATATGGTTGCTGGGAATTGAACTCAGAACCTTTGGAAGAGCAGGCAATGCTCTTAACCTCTGAGCCATCTCTCCAGCCCCCTCTGCTTTCTTTTTCAAGTTGTATTTTATAATCTGTTTACTTATACTTTTAGTTTTCTAAAACAATAAGCAATAATAGTCAATTTGAATAATACAAATAAATTCCTAATACTATTACTGTATCATAACTATAAATTCTCTTTAATTTCTAGGTTAGAGGTCAATTGATAGTGGCTATGCAGATTGTTACACTTTGTCCCCAGAGGCTGCAAGTGTGTTATAGTAACAGTGTGTGGCTTGCTGGGGATGTGGCCTGACTGGTAGAGTTCTTGCCTGGGATGCACGAAAAGCCCTGGGTGTGGTTCCCAGCACTGCATAGAATCAGATATGGTGGCACACACCGAAAACCTCAGCACTTGCCTGGAGCTCCCACACCTGGGCGGTGGAGGCAGGAGGATCATCTGCCCCTGCACCTCTGTGCCCTCTCACCTTCTTGCCTTCCCTGATGTGCTGCACAGGTGACATTATCAATGCCCTGGCCAATGTGTCCGGCCGAAAGCACCCATCAACGGTCCAGGGGAAGCAGCTGAAGATGTGTCTCCCCATGATGCCCGTGGTGCTCCATCTGGTCATGTCTCAGGTACCCCATCCTCATCCCCTGGAGGGGAGCCACATCTCCTGAGATGACTCTTCTGACTGTCCGTCTTTGCTCGCGGCTCTCAGGATCTCATCCAGGGAACTCTCGCCCCACAGGTGTTCCGGCCTCAAGTCGTGACAGAAGAATTTCTCTTCAGCTATGGGACAATTCTTGTGAGTAGCGGGACTCCTATCAGGCTAACGGTGCTGCCTCGACTGCTGGCTGTGGGGTGGGCTGCTGGAAGGCAGGAATTAAAAGTCTAAATGGCATTTGTTTGTAGGGAAGTGACCTTTTTATATTTTTATCTGTTGACTGTAATAAAATTTGACATTTGGGGAAAATACATTCTCTCCTGATAATGTATTTTGTTCAGAGACAGCCCCTAATAGGGTAAAGAAAAGCCCACATAAGCACACGATAGACATCAAGTTAAGCATTTGAAGGACATGGGTGACGGTAGGGGCTGAGAATACTGTGCTTACTAACTTCGGCTCTCTCTGGATGTTCAGGAATTAAATATTTGCGCCTCTTTCAGGAAGGGGGTGTGACATGGGCTCAGAGACAAGGCTGGAGGCCCCTCTGGGGAAGGGCCTCCTCTCTTCTTCAGGAACGGTCTGCTCTTTATTGGTCTTCACTACGGTTGCCTCCATACAATTGTCTGTGGGAAACAACCTGCCTGGTTTATTATGAAAACAGCTTTCACATTTGTCTGTCTTTGGTTGTCGGGAGGGAATTGAAACAAACAAAATGGCAAACGTTGTATTTTGAGGCTGGCGAGGTGGCTCAGTGGTTAAAGTGAGTTAAAGTGCTCATCGCCGAGCTTAGTGAGAGCTGGAGGCCCAGATCCACACCCTGAGGAGAGGCCTGGCTTCTGAAAGTTATCCAAGTGCACAGGTGGTGTCCAGGCTCTTCCTGGTGAGGCACTTTCCAAGTCTGCATCCTGGCTGCTCCTGGTACCTTGGTGACTTCTCACTGTACCTGTTTGCATCGGCTTGCACTCGGTGTGGGTGGCATCGATGTGGCCCTGGGAAGCAGTGGGTCACTGTCCACCGCACGGCCTGCTTCTGTCATCTGTGCAGCTTGTCTTTGATGTGACATGAGCTGGGCATGAGAGCGGCCGTCAGACGTCGTTTCTGTGAGCTGATCTTCCAGAAATCATTGAGAACTGTCTTCCGACTTTCGTCACACATTCCAGCCCTGAAACGGGAAGTGAAGGCTGGCGTATGAAACGTTTGGAAATGTTTGCTTTCAGCTTGGTTCCCGAAGGTTTCCTAAACACCCCTGAAGTGTGCAGCGCTCACGTGGAAGAACGTCACACATGGCCATCACAGAGCAGCGTGTGCAAGTGTACACATGCCTGCCAGCGCACCTGCCTGTCCTGGCCCAGTGGATGCTGGAGGTTGACTGTGGGTCTCTTTCTCCATTTCTTCACTTCATCCTGCAGCAGGGTCTGTTTTGGAGCCCAGAACCTGCTGACTGTCAGTGAACATCTGGATTTTCCTGCCTCTGCCTTCCAGTCTTACATAATCAGCTCCAGGTGTCAGCCTGGCATGATCTGGCTTCACGTAGGGAGAGGGACTTTCAGCTGGCAAATTGCCTAGAATGGGCTGGCATGTGAGCACATCTGTGAGGCATTTCCTTAATTGCTGTGCTGTAGGTGGACTCAGCCCACTGTGGGTGGCGCCATCCCTGGGGAAGTGGGCCTGTTGGGTAAGTGGCCACGGGGAGCAAGCCAGAAGGAGCGAGCCGGAAGGAGCGAGCCGGAAGGAGCAAGCCAGTAAGCGCTGTACCTCCATGGTCTTCCTCCAGCTCCTGTAGAGTTCCCTCAATGACGGACTGTTCCTTGTACACTTGTTTCTCATTGTGGTGTTTACCACAGCAACGGGAGGCAAACTAGGCGCCATTGCTGTGGGATTGGCGTGTGCTGCTGCTGCTGCGCCCTGCTACCGTCTGTCCTGCTTTGGTGCAGGTGTTGGGCTTGAACTCAGGTCCTCACGCTTGCTCAGCGCACACTTGCCCCTCTGAGCTGTCTTTCTAATCCAGCACAGTGAAGGAAAGCTTTGCTTCCTTCTGGAGGTCAGTATTCTTTTCAGTATTTTCCAGGTATGCCCGAGTAGTCTCCATCACGCTGGGCTTATCAATTAGCTTTTACAAACTGCCTGAATCTGAGGGACTCAGTTCCAGCTGTATCCAGGACTGCATAGACCAGAACTTCTTGCCTTTGGGTAAAGTGGGCATGGAGAGAGGCCCAGAGGGGCTGTGTCCTCACTCATTGCAAGGGTCCCTAAAGAAGGGACCTGGAGGGCATGGCATGGCCTGGTACATCTCGTAATGGCACCAGGCCACGGTTTGCCTGTGCTGAGGGAGAGACATTGCCATCCTCATCAGAGCAGCTGTGATGACTTTGACGTTCCCTCCCAGGCGGGGCGGCCATCAGCCCCTCCAGGCTGGATCCAGTTCTGCCTCAGGTGCGTGTGGTCATGCTGCCTGAGGAGGCTCTAGAGTGTTCTAGAGTGTTCTCAACCTGGGGGTGGAATGACGTTCACAGGGGTCACATATCAGATGTTACATTATGGTTCATAACAGTAGCAAGATTACAGTTATGAAGTAGTAGCAAACTTGTGGCTGGGGCCACCACAGCACATTGAACTGTGTTAAAGTTCGCAGCGTTAGGAAGGTCAAGAGCCTCTGCTCTAGAGCATGGAGAAGGTGGAAGGTGACGGAACTCCATCTGTGCAGCTCAGGGAACATGCCATCCGTGCTGGCGTGTGCTGCTTCCCTTCACCCTCAGCCCTGCTCTGTAAGGAAACCCAGCAACCCCAGTGACTGAGCTGGACATTGATGGAGTGGTTGCTTTGGTCTGTCGGTGCCCTTTTACGGTAGAACATTCTAGATAATTCCATATGGGACATGCGTGTAGAAATTAGCTCTATATGAACATTTCCCCACAAATAAGCGAGATGTGGTTCTGAAGGAGACTGCTGTTTGGCTGCAATAGCAGGGAGCTTTTAAGCCACCATGGACTTTCACAGTCTCCACCAGAGGAGGACCAGCCAACTGTGAATGGCTGCCTTCCACCTCGCCAGGCAGGCAGCCTTCCCACAGCAGCTGCCTCTTCAAGGCCTGCACCCGGAGCTGGGGAGGTGGCGGGGACTGAACTGGGCCAGAACAGAAGACATGATAGGGAAACGGTGGGTGGGACCCCTGATGGCTGTCGATCTACTGTGTGCTGCTTTGATGGATGTTGACCTACTGTGTGCTGCTGTGATGGATGTTGACCTACTGTGCGCTCTTTTGATGGATGCTGACCTACTGTGCACTGCTTTGATAGCTGTCGACCTACTGCATACTTTGATGGATGTTGATCTACTGTGTGTTTTTTTGATGGATGCTGACTTACTGTGTGCTGTTTTGATGGCTGTTGACCTACTGTGTGCTGTTTTGATGACTGTTGACCTACTGTGCACTGCTTCCTGTGTCCTTTCCCAAGGTCTTTGGTTGATGAGCTCAAGACAGGGATTTGTCTGTGCATGCTGGGTTCTCCAGTCCTGACCTTGCTGGACTGTAAAAGTGCAGAGATTGGCAGACACGCCCCATCCCACCTGTGCCCAGCTTTCTGACAAGCAAAGGCTGACTTGTTTATAGTGCTTGTTTTGTGTTGTGGAGATGGTACCTGCCATGCTTTAAAACAAACTGCAAATGCTCTTGTAATCTATGGATGTTCTTGTGAGGAGTTTTTCTGACTCTGTCCTGACTGCAGAGGAGGTCTGTAAACACTGAGGTGGGCAGGCTTGCCGCTGGTCTGATGGCAAGCCCTTTTACCCACTGCACCATCTCTGCAGCTCTGACAGGGCTATTTTCTGTCCTTACTCTTGAGCTGGTGGCCTGGCACTAGGGTTTGTGGCGTTGTTCTCTGCTCCACTATGGAGCCTCCGCTTTGCTGTCCATGCTCTCTGTGATCATCTGGAGATCCTCTGGGTCCCGGGTTGTGGTCACTGCAGCTCTGGAGATGCTCTGGGTCCTGGGCTGTGGTCACTGCGGCTCTGG